GAAATTGAAGTGTGCTAGTTCTCGGGTGTGTCTCGTGCCAATGTTGCGTCACACTTCTTCCTTTTCCTCATAATCACTTGGGGCACATAAATTCACACCTCGCACAACTGGCTTGTCAGAATGGAGATGCCGGAATTGTTGGTCAGTCGCGTTTCAAGAGTGCGGTAACACCAAGTGCCGAATGGTGTGCAAGGCAGCAATGCTAGTCGACCTGGCCGCGAGGAGGTGAGGAGAAAACTTGCCGTTTTGGCAGAATTTCGCTTGGCCTTTAGTCCCAGAAGTGGCTTCATATTGCACTTTCGCTCTCAACCGAGTCTAGGAGCAGCAAATAAATTATAATTAACGTGCACCCGTATTTACTACTGCTACTACTACTAATAATAAAAAAATAATATTCATAATAATGATGAGGATTGTGATAATCAGCATAATCATGAATGTATTGGTTCGATTGCTGTCCTAAATCTGAGCAACTTGTAGACGGCCAACTTTTTGTCACATGCATCGTTAAACCGAGTAGACCAGCTAGTTCGTGCCTGCGATTTTACCCCACTGCTTGAGGGGAATCCAGTTTGCGGGGCTTTTGACTGGCTGTCTACAATGGATACCACTGACTTTCCGGATTTCCGAACCGGAAGTAAGAAAACTTTGCCTGCAAGTGAAGATATTACCCAAAAATTCAGCAATTTTGTATTCTCTACAACCGAGATTCGTAACAATGTGGCTGCTTTTACTCGCGACGGGGTCACTAAAGGAGGCCTGGAGAACTTTATCCAGATGTACCACAGCAACCGCCTTAGGGGCATATTAACTCTGAAGTGTGAGATTGTATCCGCGATTATTGTCCTCGCTTGTCTGTGCTCGTGTTGGTGCTCGTATATTTGCTGCAGTCTGATGTAGAATACCGGCATTTGAGGTAACACAACCATGCCAACTCAAAGGCTCCATACAAACTCATTTATACACACAAGTATGTGTGCATAAAAGCTTATATGTATGTATATGCGAACAAGCATACATCCATAAATACATGCAAGTACACACAAATACATTCGTACACACATGCATGCATGCATATTTATACATTTAAAGTATACTGTTTTAGAATATTGTCACAATGAGATAATAATTGATTTCGGATTCCTCTCGTCCCAAATTGCACAAATCCACCTGCTTCTATATCCTCTCAATTAATTATTTCTTCAATTGAAATAAAATTCTATTCTTCACTGCGAAGGATTTGGACGAGCAGAAGAAAGAGGCGAAAACATGCTGTTAAAGATGACCTATAAAGGGACTATGAACAGGCGAGATTGTTCAGTAACCAGATGCAGGTCACGAAGATGATTAGCGGTCAGGTTGGGATGGACTAAATCGGCTTAACATGTGAGTGCGTAAATGAGAGGAAGAATGCCGGACAAACGATGACAAAAAATGGATGAGAGATGATGAATAAATAGAGAAAAATGGTGCAAAAGTGGTGCTGAGTACGAATGGTTGATGAGACTAATCTCCCCGCCTGCCCATCAACTGCGTTACCACCATTTCGGAAGCTGGTTCTTTTATTGCTTGATATTCATTTGAGTAAGTCGAAATTCACCAGTTATGCATGTTGAGACCAGGATTCCTCGTATTAAGTTTTAGGATTCCGGATAATGGAGTAATTTTCTAGAATAATAGTTTCATAAACTAGCGAAACTATCGAAGTGGGTTGACCTCGTTGTCGCAACTTGGTTTTGTTTTCAGGTAGACTATGTAGAACGCACCTAGTCCGAAGTCGTCTGCCATTGTAGTTGTCATGATTCCCAGCATCAGACCGTGGACTTGATACATTTTTAAACGTTTCGCCAGCGTCCTAGTCGGCATCATCAGTGAGCTTTGCCATTCTCCGCACCAAGATACGAACTCGTCAAAGAAACGTTTTAGAATGTATCAAGTCCACTGTCAGATGCTGGGAATCATGACAACTACTATGGCAGACGACTTCGGACTAGGGTACTTGGTCTCCCTGACAACAAGACCAAGTTGTGACAACGAGGTCAACCCACTTTTGGTATTTCGTCTATATCCTTACCACAGCGGCTTCAGTAGTTGAGCTCTTTTTTTTAATTTGGCATGTCAACCACATACGAGAAAATGATAGGAATTTGCCGTGTCCGGTTGAGGCCTACCATGCTTCAGAATAGCTTTCTTTATTTCAAATATTTGATGACCTCCAAACCATTCGACCCTAGGCTCCTAAGTTACTCACATACCGAGGCAGATTCTGAAGATAAAGTGGGTCCATTTCTTCTTTGCCTGGTCCTCGGTCCTGTCGAAAGGGTGAGGTTTTGCATCGTGTAACCTTGTGTTCAGCTGGGGTCCAACCCTAAAGGAGGCAGCATAGTCTGGGCAGACAGAGCGCCGAAGCTATTCTAAGATGGCTTGCTTGTCTGTCAAGACTATCATATGAACCGTTATGTATGTGGCTCGAATTGTGAAAGGAATTTGATGTTTAGCTTGGGCACATCCTCAGCCCGAATTACTGATGGTTGTTGTCGAGACGCATCAAGTTCGTAGTGCCTTCCGGGCCCGGATAACCTTTCGATTATCGATGCTTCGAGGAGAAATCGTGGTTTTGCAGTTTAGACCTTGTCTCATCTTTTCATCAGCGTCCACAACCGAACCAACTGGCCAGTCGGGTCAGACGAGAACATGGCCTCCAAATCAGGGCAGACCTCTATCAACTCGCATCTTAATGCATATCTCAAGCCACATCTTAATCGGCTTATAAATCCGAACTTTAACCTACACATCAGCTCACATCTCAATTCAAATCTAGGACATCTTCTAAATCCACATATAAATTTGCCACACGAAACTGGTCGTAGTTACCATTATACGAAGCTGTATTCTACCAGGTTTCTCAGCGCTTTTTAACTCATCTCTCCGCTCGGATTAATTTTTATTGACTCACTCGATGATGAAATGTTTGAGCTCTTGTGTATATTTGACGCCAAACTTTGGCCAAACTTTCTTTTTAATTGACACTATTATTATTATTATGGCTTTTGTTAAGAGTGATTTCCATCTTTTTTCTGTTCCCCCTCATCGCGCTCGGATTTCTTCGATCAGCAACAAGTCCGGACTCTATTCGTCAGTGGCCTTCCACTGGATACCAAGACTCGTGAACTGTACCTGCTTTTTCGCGGCTTTAAGGTGAGCTGTTGCACAATTTCTGTAACTCGTTATTTGTCTTTTGGTTCAGAGGCGACATAGCCTGGGAGGATGGGACTCAAATTGTCCCCAAATTGTCTTTTATCACCGATAATTCCTTTGAAAAATCGGGCTTTGTTTGGGGCTCGATTCGGCAGCGTTCTTTGGCTATTCCCTGAAATAACCAGGTCGCTAAGCAAAAGATCCAGGTTTCCGCCTTTGGCGACACATCCACAGTATAGAATAAGGGCCACTTGTGATCCTCATCGCTGAGTAAATGATATCATCTGAGTTGAAAAAACTGGTTAAAATGTTTCTCTATTCCGAATTGAGAATTTAAATTAAAGCTTTAGTCTGCTTAGGTTTCCCAAAGTGATGAATGAATGATTGTGGATTTTCCTATAATGTCAAGAATAGCCCTCACGACTCCCTGGAATTTCATTTAGCCTTGCTTCCCCAGGGTGACTAAAGCTCATATTTAAGATCTGCTGATATTATCTAAAAGGGAATTTTAACTGCAAACCTGAATCCTTCTATTTCGGAAGGTGTAAAATAGCCCAGGAAGACAAGCTTTTGGAGTTCTCTGTGACGGTAGTTGAACTTTTTCGTCCACACTCAAGCATAAACAAAAGCTGAGCAAGTACTGGTCGGGATACCGCACATGCACAAAAAGATCTGGCCATGTTTCTCCCATGTCACACATTAGCTGTGAGGTTGTCGCTGAGATAAACCTATACTTGCCATCACAATCGACAACGCCACTTGTACTAGAATAGACCAGGGTTTCGAGACCACCGGTAGAACTTGAATTGGACCCAGGATGAGAAATGTTCTCATTCAAGATCTTCCAATAGTCTTGAACTCCTGCTCAATTAGAATGCAAGTAACGTCGCCAATTGTAATAGCAATTGCATACTCCCTTCAGGCATACTCGAGAGACTTGATCATTTGATTGTGTGAGAATTCACAATCAGTTATTCTTCACCTTAAGCAACTTAAGCTGACTAAAGCTGTTATAAGAAATGTATACTGCTAGCCTCTAAAGCCTTCTTATAAACGAAAAATAGAGTTGAGATATAAAGACCAAGATGGTGAGGTTATCGGTATGGCGGTAGTCTCCTTTCCATTTATAGAAGTGGGTTGACCTCGTTTTCACAACTTGGTCTTGCTGTCAAGGTGACTTAGCTTAACGCACCTTGCCGGAAGCCCTCTGCCATAGTAGTTATCATAATTCTCAGCATCAGACCGTCGACTTTGTACATTCTCAGACGTTTCGTTGACATCACAATCGGCATCATCAGTGAGTTCAATTGGATAAGAGGGTAGAGAGTAGATAAATGGACCAGGACATACAGATTAATGATAGTTTAACCGTTTCGCCAGAACGTTGGTCGAAGGATTGACTTCACTTGTCTCTGACGAGTTTGCAGCTTGGCGCGGAGAATGTCAGGACGCATTCATGATGCCGACTAAGATGTCGGCGGAACGTCTGCGAATGTACCAAGTCGATTGTCTGCTTCTAGGAGTCATGACAACTACTATGGCAGACGACTTCGGCCAAGGTGCGTCCAACTGAGTCCCGCTGACAAGAAGACCAAGTTGCGAAAACGAGGTCAGCCCACTTCGAAAAATAAGGTTGTTACTCTTTCTCATCAGACAGAGGTCATCATCAACGGTGTACTAGTGAAGGGTTGCTTTGCGTGCTTGTGGGCTAGCTGAGCTGTTGACATTGGGAAATCGGGTCCGTTTTGCCCCCAACCTTGTTCAGAAACAAAACTGAAAGTCACATCACAGAAAGATTCCACTGTCTTGTAGCCAAGTAAATGGAGGTCCATCCGGTAGGCCCCCCTGAGGAAGGTGAGCCGGCTCCGCGTCAGCAGATCAGAGGCTCGTAAACAAACCAGAGGTCCATCTGGCCGACTCAGGCCAGAATCATGTCTCGTTTACTCAGCTTGCACTCCATTTTGACTGACCCCATTTCAATTTTGCTGCTAATCTGGCACGCCTGGCAGCAGAAATCGCTCCAATAAATTCGCTTTCCGACCCACACTTTCCCGCTTCCATGTCGGCAGCAGTAGCATCAACAGTGGTGTCGGAACAGACGCCTACACTTGGAAGTTTCGGCTTCAAAGCCGACGCTATCGTTCTGGCCAAAATCTTCTTTCAGAGCGAAGCATGGTGACTCAAGCAAGCGTTCCGGTCCCTCTTGTCCTATTGAAATATCGCAGAAACTGAGAGCAAAAAGTGAATAATGAATTTATGGGCGCCAATCCGGGCTGATTGATGACCGTTTCCAGGTGAACTCTTCGTGGGTGAATGTTTGCATGCTTTTTATGGCATACAATTAGAGTATGCAGCTTAGGAATATATTTAAAGCATCAGAAGCTTCTCGTTTTTATGTCCGAAGGTCATTATTTTATGATGGTTGAATGAGGAAGTTAATTCGGCAAAATGTATGCGCTTTTGAAGGGTGAGCAGTGTTCACATTCATTTTGTATCAAGACTAATGGAAATGATCGTATTATACTACTTAATTAGTTTATGAGTACTACATCCACAACGAAGTCGGCCAAAGTAATCTTTTCTGAAACATGCAAGACCATATTATGATCACCTACCTTATATGAAGTTTGAAGCTGTAGGCGCTTCACAATGTTGCCCTCCGCTAATCTTGCCAAGTTGTGTGCCGGTGGCTATCTGGCTATTATGATTATCAGTTAGTTCGTATTGTTTAAAATGCTCCTTGCCCACCTTGTACCTTCTAAGGCTGTCCAACTAGTTTGGAACTCTTTTATTTGGCCCAATTTTAGCACTCACACTTGCTTGCTCTTGGCCTGTCTTTCGTGAGAATTGGGGTTTGACAAAAAGTGTACAATTTTTACCACTTATTGCGAAGTTCATGTCATCCCTTGCAAAGTACACTGTGGTTACTAAGCTACCCTTTTATCCTGTCATTTGCATACTTTGCCTCGTCGGCTTGGAATTGTAGACTTGGCACTGCAGACTTGACCTTGAAGACTTGGCAAACTTTTTGAAGGAGTAAATAACTAGACCTAGAATGATTTATAGTCTCTCATTGCAAACAAAAGTTATTTAAGCTATTGGCAAACCACGTAGTCGAGATGGACTAAGGCCTGAGAGTCACCGTGCCATAGTGCAAATTGGGATTGAGAATTTTCATTTATTCTCCTATATTTTGTCTATTATTATGGAGGGGGTTTCAATACTGTTATTTACTCTTTTCCAATGCGCCTTGTGTTTATCACATTTATTAAATATGATGTATCATTCTATCCCATGTAATATTTAGCTATTTACTCTACACCTCACAATGCTGTAATCTGGTTATAATCTGTTCTTTGTTATACAGTCATATTATAATATGATGTAATATCGTATACTGCCATACTTAGCTATTTTATATTATACCTTCGAATTCATACAATATTGATTTTCACCATAAAATATATACTATAATTAACTATATCCATGTAGATATGAAGATCAAGATGTTGTGACCTCTGGTATGGTCGCAGTCTCCTTTCAATTTATAGAAGTGAGTTGACCTCGTCGTCGCAATTTGGTCTTGGTACATTCTCCGACGTTTCGCCGGCATCGTGGTCGGCATCATCAGTGAGTGCTGCCATTCTCCGCACCAACCTACGAACTCGTCAAAGGGACAAGTGAAGGCAATCCCTCGATAAACGTTCTGCCGTAAACGGTTACACTATCACTCCTCTTTCTGCCCTGGCCTATCTATCTACTCTTTACCGTCTTATCTCACTGTCGCACTATCACAATTCCTGACTTGTTTACATTCCACTCGTCAAGATGTTTGCCCTTTTGTGGTAAATCTAATGTGGCCTCATCATCACACTTGCTATTCACCCCGACCCCCTCTCTTTCGATCGGCTGATCCGACTCGGGCCTCCAATCCG